GCTGTGTTGTCTGTTTTCTCTGTTTGTCAGATGCAAATAACCAGATCCAGACGTGAACAGTTTAATTAGTTACTTTATTGCTCATGCCTAATGTATTTCACAGGAATCTTCTCAGGTTAGTGATCTGCTAGACTAGATAAAATTCAAAGGCATTCAAGTATGGTCAGATCTTGCCCTCTTTTGCCTATGTGTAATGAGTCCAGACTAATTCCTTACTTGATTCCCCCCCCTACATTAGCCAGTCTTCCTCTAAAACTGATAGTTGAAATATCTTCAGTGGTATAATTGAAAAAAATGGGGAAAAGGATGGATCTTTTCTCGATAGGCATAACAGTAGCTCTTTACCAAGATATAACTTTCTAGCAAGTGATTTTTAAAAAAACAATAACAACAACAACACAGTTTATCGCCTTTAGACATAATAAAATATAGGCATATATGTAATGTACAGCATTAAAGTAGAACATCCTATTCATGAATGTTCCATGCTACATTAACTTTGAGCATGCATACATGCTTATAATATGAGTAAAGCACATAGGGAGTATTTTGTGTAAGACAACCATGTGATCTTTATTAATTTTATGACTTATCTACTTGTTTCACATTATGTCAACTAACCTATCATTATATCACACTAATTTTTCTTGATGTTAAACATGTGAAATATACAATAGTATAAGCAAAGTGTGTGATTTTCAATTCTTTATCCCTCTGTATGCAGCAAGAATATATAGTCACAGACAACAATTCGAACTAGGATATAATATACATTAAAATGCATCAGAAGTCAAAGAAATAGTCTATATATCTGAACATATTCAAGGTAAACATGACCCATACTTGATTTCTGCAAATGAAAACTGATACTAAATCTTGTTCTTTTGATAAGTATTATTTTAGTTTGGATTTAACTGGATGAATTCCAAAATTTTAATTGCATTTTAGCCTTTTCTTTTTCATCTAGTAATTCATCTTATATTTTGTATTTTGTAGAAATATATGAAATATGACTACATATACAGCTGTTAAACATAGCTGGACTCCAATAAGGTGACAAGTAATTGCTGCAGAAACTACCATTACAGTTCAGGCACTTGAAGGAATTTTTTTAAAGACAGAAGCTATGCAACCTTAAAAGGACTTGTTTAAATTTTTATGGTGTCTATGTGTGTGTAGGATATGTGAAGTCTGTAAAAACCCAGCAAAGTTTACTGCTCTTAAAGTTAAGAAATCATTCTTGTGTTGCACACTGATAAATATAAACCCTAGAATCTGAATTTTGTATTGAAAATGCTTTCTTTTTGTTTAATGTTCTTGTTATTTAAAAAGGCAGGCATGTCAGAAGAAAAAGAATCTGTACAACCTTGACATTGCCATCACAGAAACCCAGATGTAAACAATACCTTTTAAGGTTATATCAGAAGTATAAATAGTTGTTGAGGCTATATGTGCTCTGTAAATCATCAAATGAAATAATGTATGAAAGACTAACTAAAAATTGGAACATAATACACAACATTGTTAAAGTGTTCCAGAAGAAGTCAATATCTTTTAATTCTGTTCTAAAAATAGGCACTTGTGGTTAATAGAAAATTATGTTCTTAAGAATTGGTAGGAGGAGAATAGCCAGTTAAAAGGAATCAATGTAAAATATTAAATTTCAATCATATGTCTGATTTTTTTTATTAAACATAGCATATATAGGAGAATGTGGGACCTTGAATGTAAGATGAGTTTTTAAACCTGAGTTACCTTCAGATCGGTTTAAATCAGTGGTTCTCAACCTTTCTAATGCCGTGACCCCATAATACAGTTTCCCATGTTGTGGTGACCCCCAACCACTTATACATCACCAGGTGCCAGGGGTGTGGCCAAAGAAAAGGGGGAAAAATGGCAGACAGCTTTGTTTGGCGACCCCCGTGAAATGGTCATTCGACCCCAAATGGGGTCCTGACCCACAGGTTGAGAACCACTGGTTTAAATAATATTGGAGCTTTAGTTCAGCAATGTGTGTCAAACTAACAATGTTTTTTGAGAAAAGAAAAATTGGAATATTCTTTTAGTATTTTCTGTGTTAAATCCTCATGGACATGTAGTCCTTGACTTATGATCACAAACAAGCTCAAAATTTCTTTTGCTAAGTGAGACAGTTAAGTGAATTTTGCCCCATTTTACTACCTTTCTTGCTGCAGTTGTTAAGTGAATCACTGTAGTTGTTAGTAGCATGGTTGTTAAGTGAATCTGGCTTCCCTATTGACTACTTGTGGTGATTGCATGATCCCAGGATACTGCAACTGTCATAAATATGAGTCAATTGTGCCCTCCTTTCAAGATGGCTGCTGCTCGGTAAGGTTTTTTTTTTTCTCTTACCAATGTTATGCTGATTTCACTGTAAAAGCTAGTTCTTTGGCAGTGCTGCTCCCTGGTTTTGAAAGGCAGCACTTAGGAGTGACCCAAGGAGACCTTTGGATGATTGTGGACTCAGTGGGGAAGAGGGGTCTTGAAGATTCCAATTCCCTCTGGAAGTGGTTGAAAAGTAACTGGGCATATCCATCTTCCTGTCAAGCATTTATTTCATTTTCTAGTCATGCCAGAATTTTAACTTCCACTTTTTAACTTTATTGTTTTATTTTGCTTTGTGCTTTAAAAATTTATCAGCAGTTGAATGTTGATTTATTTCAACCCCTTGCTGGACTCTTAATTGCTTTTTCTCTTTTTTCCTTCTGATATATGTTGTGCTGGATAACCTCTGCCCCTTCCATATAGAATGCTCGACAACATTTGGGGAGGTGATGAAGAGACATTAGACTCTCACCACTGGATTCTGTATTTTTTGAATTTGCAAAATATCTGCAATTTATTTCTATTGATCTTTTCTTATAATTTTGGATTGAAATGTAGAGGAAAATATTTTTTGTTCTTTGTTCCCTGATTAAGTTGAAATGGCTGAACAATGTCTGTACACTGAACATTGTAGAAATTTCAGAAAGAAGGGTGGGAATATATGTGGCTTCTAGCTGGTTTTCTCTTACATAAACTTGATCAAATTTTAATGAGTCTTCAAAGAATGTTACAGCCTGAAGCTTTATCTTTGGATAAAGATACACAAAAGGACTTTGATCCAGTTCCAGATCAAAGAGAGAATCTCATGGCTGAAGAACCAGCAAAGTGGATTTCATTTATTGTTCAGAAATTTAAGTCTGTATATTTCTCCAACATTAGGGCCTTAGCTGGAAGAGAGGGAGACAAATTCCTTTCCTCTATGAAGGAATCCCTTTCCTCTAAGGGAGACTGGATGGATTTATTACAGTTAACTAGTAACTTCTTCTGCTTGTATTCTAATTCAAAAATAGACATGTTCTGGAGACTGAATTTACCTACATTTAATTAAACAACAATTGGCAAGAGAGGATATTAAGAAACAAGCATGGATGTTTGACCCAGGATGATCCATTTATAACTTTTGGGGTGATCCGGGATCGTTAAGATGCCATGCTAAATTTCCTACAAGTGGATTACAATTTCAGCTTGTTAACAGAGAGATTTGTAACTTTAATTTTGTTCTGCTTTACTATTATTGTTTTGCCTGCTAACTGCTTTGTCATTAATATACCATATAGAAGACAGGTCAACAAGTTACTAAGAGATTTTAAAAAATTTGGAAGGGTCTGTTTCGCAAAGTGGGGGAAACTAATTGTAATAATATATTAAGTAGAATTCCACTAGTGGGGATAATATATGTAAAATGTGTTGTTTTTTACATGTACCCTTTTAAAAATGTTTTGTCTTGTATCTTATGGTTTTTTTCTTTCATATCTTCTTGAATTTTGTATTTTAACTTCATTCTGAATAGTGTGTGTGTGTGTGTGTTTATATGTGAGTTGCCAAGTATCTGAATTTTGATAACCATGGGGATGCTGCAATGGTCAAACTGGTCATAAGCTACTTCTTTCAGTTCCACTACAACTTTGAACAGTCACTAAACAAACTATTGTACGTTGAGGGATACCTGTACAGCTCTAAGATTGTATTTCTTTCCATTCTTTTTTTTAGTTTGAATGTATGAATGGAGCAAACATTGGAAAAATCATAAGCCCATGATCAAAACTTGTAGCATTCATGTTTGTGGAAACCATCAGTGTCATGGCTTATGAATCCATTTAATAAATCCAGCCTATACTTAATTGCCTTGCTAATAGGATGCTAATTTTGTTAGACGTTTCCTAAAGTGAAGAAATATGTCTCCAACATAAAACATCTAAAAAAGTTGTCACTTAAAAAATGCCAATAAGCTAATCTGCCAAAATTGACTAATTACAAGATTCTTAAAATTCTGTCACAGTATGATTTTGGAATCTTCCTTAATGCAGTTTTAGATTGCCTACTTTGCAGTGTCTGTATCGTCCCTTTGTGGCACAATATACATATTTTTCCAGTTATCTGGTGCTTCTGTATTAGCCAACATTTTCAAAAATAGATAATAGGTTCAGTAAAACAACATCAAGCTCCTTGAATGCTGATTTAATTTAGCTGGTCTTGGAATTTAAATGGTCAGTTAACACCAGGGGTCTTCAAACTTGGCCCTTTTATGACTTGTGGACTTCAACTCCCAGAATTCCTCAGCCAGGCACAAGTCATAAAAGGGCCAAGTTTGAAGTAATGTTTAAATTTGTGTTTTGGAGGGAGTTTATACAGAATGATGGATAATAATATAAGTATGATACTAGAAAATGTTTAGAGTATATTATAATGTGTTTAATGATTGCAATTATTATTTTTTTAGAGAAGATAACCTATTTAATTTAATGTATTTAGATTTGTTTAGGATTTATATGTGTTTTAAGTTTTTCTTTTCTTTTTCTGAAAAATTTTAATTAAGCCTGTACTCAGCTCTGGGAAGGTTGGGGGAGGGTTTGGGAGGTTTGGGGAGGTGGGGGAGGGTATGGGAGGGTGGGGGGGTTTGGGGAGGGGATTTGTTTTGTAAAATTTAAAAAACTTTCAATAAAAAAAGGGCCAAGTTTGAAGACCTCTGGTTAACACTCTTTATGTTTCTGTGAAGTCATGTTGCAAATCTGGTCCTTCAGCTAGCTTATTACAATTGTCTTATGGAATGTGTATTTTCTACTTGAAGAACTGAATTAACAGTTAATTTTTAACTTTGGCAGCTATGTTGCCTATATACACAGGATCTCTCTCTTTCCCTCTCTCCCTCCCAAGAAATATAGCACAGAGTAGACCACTTTTACCTCTGAAGATATCAGCCATAGTTGCTGGGAAAATGTCAGGGTACCAGAAAATTGGTCCCCCCAAAAATAAAAAACCTGTTACCGGGAATCTGAGGTGTCTGGAGGTAAATCAGAATTTCGTCTAGCAGTGAGTATCACTTCTTCTGTGCTGTGGCCCAGAGCATCATATGTCAATCTTCTAATTGGGTGTATCACCCATCTTGATCTCTGTACTTTGGACTCGGCAATAATGCAAGGGTCCTCCTCCTGTAACTTTCCACCCCCAAAGATCTCCGGGGCTGGAGGCCCATTCTCTAATTCTGGCAGTTGTGGAGCAGGAATAATTGGGCCTATCTCTATAGACTCCTCTAGCCCTGGGGCCTCTGGAGCTAACAGCACTTCCTCCTGTCCCGGCAGCTCCCCAGACTGCTCATCCACCTCAGGTTCTCTGAGAGCTTCTCCCCATTCCCAAGCTTTGAGTACAAACTCGGGCATCTGATCTAAGCTGTTCAAGCCCCACCTCAGTATCTAATACAGGGGAAGTAGCTCCAATGTCTTCCAATGACCACAACCAACCCATACAACCCTCTTCTTCTTCAGAGTCCTCTTCTTCTTCCACGGGTGGATCAGGTTGTGCTTGAGTCTCTGATCTTCTCCCTGTTGAGCAAGGTTCAGATGCTTTTGCAACAGCTGGCTGAGAGACTCGTATTGCCTCATTTAAAGGCAATACATGATTTCGATGCCATGCTTTCAATGGACCTGAGCTCCCTTCTGGTTGAATCCGATATACTGGCAATCCCTGTGACTTCTCACTGACAATGTATAGCTGAGAACCCCATCGATATGCCAATTTATGCTTCCCAGGGAGGCCCAAATTTCTCAGTAATACCCTATTGCCAAGTTGCAGATCCTGAACTCTCAACTTCAGGTCATAGTTCCTCTTATTTCTCTGTTCTCGAACCCCTGCAGCGACCAAAGCCTTTTCATATGCCATCTTCAAATTCCTCCTTAACCTGTCTACATAATTACGATGTAACCTAATTGAGGTCTCATCCATTGAAATGCCAAATGTTATATCTACTGGCAGTCGAGCCTCCCTGCCAAACATCAGTTGATATGGAGAATACCCAGTAGCATCATTTTTCATGCTATTACATGCGTGTACAGCGGTAGAAATATGTTGTGTCCAAAGTTGTTTCTGTTCTGCGGTCAGCATCCCCAGCATATTAAGAAAGGGTATGATTGAAGTTCTCAGGCTGTGGGTCTCCTTGTGGGTGATAGGGGGAAGTGCGTGACTTTTGAATGCCCAGTATGTCCAATAGTTGTTTGACAAGCCTGCTTTTGAAATCTCTACCTTGATCGGAATGTATGTGCTGAGGTAGCCCATAGCATACAAAGAACTTCTGTACAAGTACTTTGGCTACCGTAATGGCATGCTGATCCTTTGTTGGGAAGGCTTGTGCATAATGAGTGAAATGATCGTCACAACCAATACATTTCCTCACCCACTTGTATCCGGTTCCAGGCAGAGAAAGTCGATGCAAACTAGATCCAGGGGCCCATAGCTTTGCAGATGGTCCATCGGTGCAGCCCTGGAAGGTAGGGTCTTTCTTTGGATACAACGCAGGCAGGATTGACAATAATCCCCAACTTCTGTCTTCATACAAGGCCAATAAAACTGGTCCCTCATTAGCTTAAAAGTCTTCTCTGGCCCCAGATGTCCATGTTCATCATATAACGCAGTTAACACTGACTCCTTATGTTTTTCTGGGAGCAAGAGTTGCCACTTCTCATGCCCGTCAGAAGGGTCTTTCCGATAAACCACACCATTCCAGAGCTGTAAGTGGTCCCATTCCTTATACAACACTCGGGCTCCCCTCGATAGATCGGTGAGTAAAACCTCTCACTGACCACTTCTCAGAGCTCTTTCAGACAGGCCACAAAGGGGTCTTCCACCTGATCTCTTTTCAAATCTTTCTTAGAACAAATATACCCTCCCCTCTAACTTGAATAGGGTTACAATACAAGTTAGGAACAACTGCAGTAGTGACCCCTACTGCCTCTGCCCCAATTGCTTCTCAACCTCGGTGCTCAACCCCCTGTTACAATGCTTGAATACCATCGGAGGTCAATTGGACCCATTCTTCAACATGTACCCCCGATCATGAGGTCTCTTCGACAGGGCATCTGCATTCCTGTTCCTCACACCCGGCTGGTAAATCTGAATCTGGAAAGGGCAGCTAGCCACCGATGCCCCGTGGCATCGAGTTTGGCAGTTATGAGCAGGTACATGAGTAGGTTGTTGTCTGTCTTAACCTCGAATTCTACCCCACTTAAGAGCCAAAAATTCCAGCTTATGGGTAGGATAATTATTTTCGGCTACAGCTAGGCCCCTGTTGATGTATGCAATGGGCTTCAGATGTTTGTCATGCTCCTGATACAATACCCCCCCAAACCATCCCAAATAGCATCAATATGTAGTTCATACAGCCGGTTAGGATCTGCATAAGCCAAGATGGGGGGCATTTGTAAGCCTCCATTTCAGCTGGTCAAAGGCTTGCTCACACTGCCCACTCCACTCTGCCTGAATAGATTCCCGAGACTTCCTGGGTCCCCTATTTTGATGGACATGGTTCCAATGAAATAGGCACATCCTTTTCCTCTTCATTTTTTTAACAAATCAGGAAGAGGACGAGCTATCTTTGCAAACCCTTCAACAAACCTCCGATAGTATGAACAGAACCCAAAAAACGATCACAATTCAGCCACATTTTGGGGTCTAGGCCAGGAAACAACAGCCTCAAGCTTGGTGGGGTCAGTTGATACCCCTTCTACAGAAACAACATGACCCAAATATGTAACAGATGGTTGGTAAAATTGACATTTTTCCAATGACAGCTTCAACCCTTCCTCATGGAGCCTTGTCAATACCTTCTCCAAACGCTCCTCATGCTGTTCAAGAGTCTCACCAAAGACAATAATATTATCTAGGTAGACTAACTGTATCAAGTTCATGTTCCCCACAGCCTCTGAAAGGTCGCCCGGGCCCCTGATAACCTTGAGGCATCTGATTGAATTCATAAAACCCCAAGGGACAAATGAAATGAGTTTTCTCTCTATCTTCTGGATGCATGGGAAGCTGATGGTAGCCACTCCTTAAATCCAGCACACTAAACCACTTTGCCTCTGATAAACACTGCAAAACATCCTGTATTTGAGGGATTGTGTACTCATCTGGAATGGTCCTCCAATTAAGAGTGTGATAGTCTATACACATTCTCAAGGATCCATTCTTCTTCCGGACCACCACTATGGGGGAGGCATAAGGACTTCGAGATTCTCTGATGATCCGAGTCCTCTTCAACTCCGCTAAATGCTCTCTAAGATCATCTAAGTCACTCCAGGGAATCCACCGGGATGTCTCTCAAAAGGGTTTTTCTTCCTGCAAATGGATTACATGTTGAGCGCTCCCAGCACAGCCCACGTCAAACTCATCTTTTGAGAATAGGTGTTGCCACCTCCAAAGCTGGTTTCTAGCCCTCTCTCTCTCTCCACTCTTGGGAAAGCTGCATGTTTTTAGGATAGAACTGATCTGTTAAAACCTCACCCTCAGTCTTTTCCCTAGTATCAGGAGGCACAATTGGGGTGGCTGGGCTCACCTACCTCAACAACCTCCGATCTCTCAACCTCACAGAGAGGTTTGTAATATTCCGGACTCCAACTGAAATCCGTCCTCTGGCCTGCTGTAGGGCCTTTGTAGAGACCACCTCTGGAATTACCTCCACTCTGCGCCGAGGTGGCGCAGCAGTTAGAGTGCAGTACTGCAGGCCACTTTAGCTGACTGTGTTCAGCAGGTCAGCGGTTCAAATCTCACCGGCTCAAGGTTGACTCAGCCTTCCAGCCTTCCGGGGTAGGTAAAATGAGGACCCAGATTGTTGGGGGCAATGTAAATATATATATATACATTGCTTACTGGTGTACACCGCTTAGAGAGTGCTTGCACTTAAAGCGGTATATAAGTCTCATAAATAAATAAATAAATAAAATAAATTCTGCTTTCTAGGATCGGATTCAAGGATGAGGTAAGGGCCAGGCTGTTCCCAGTCTAATCTAACAGAGGTTCACAAGCATGCCACCTCCCCTGGCCTGTTGCTCCCACATCAAGTGTCGGTATACTGTCTGCAGTGCGGGATGAATATCCCCTATAACCGAGTAATTCCTCATTGGGACAGTCAGGGTGAGCAAATCCTAACTAAGTTGGTATTCATCCCCACAATCAATGAGCCCTGACTAGCTCCCGGGAGGCGGGCACACACAGTGGCAAAGGTGTCAAACGTCTCTGTATACCCAGTAACAGAGGGTCCAATTGTTAGCTGGATGGGCAGGTACTCATCATATGGGAACTTCTCAGTTCCAATACCCCAAATCTTCAAATTGCCCAACTTCTGTATGGGTATATGCATCAGGTGCCTATCATAAGAATCCCAATATAATAACTTCACTTGTGCACCCAAATCCAAGAGGGCCTTCGTATAAATACCATCCACTTGTACTGGCACCATCGGGGAGGGGCCCACCAGCTGTTTAGGAATTTTGGCAGTGAGAGACATAGCATCTGGTTCAACAGTCTGTACTTGAGTCCCCAAAGACTGTTGCTGGGGCCCTATCGCTCTGACTTTGGAAGGTTCTAAGATATGGGGGTCTCTTGCTGAAGATGGTGCTCCCATCACCCCTATCGCCGATGGGAGCTTTGGGGGAGATCCACTCATGGGGGAGTGACACCCAACCTGCCCTCATTCATCCCTTTGATTGGAGCTAGCTGATATTGCTGGGCACCCAGTTGGCTCCCTCTCTGGGGCCTCGATAGTTTCCCGACTGAACTGAATTCCCTGATCTTTTATATGATTTTCTACAAGTACGCCTATAATGTCCTACACCCCCACAGTTGTAACAAATCACTGACCTTGCTGGATTGTCGGTTGAGGTGGAAGGGCCCATCCCCCCCACCAGCTGGTCCGGCCGGATCTCCATTTGGAGGTGGACTATCCATTGCCAGCCACGAGGCCATCCTTGTTAAGTTCGATATCTGAGCTTTGCTTAGTTGTCAGCCGATTATCATCCTTTCCACCTTTCCTCACTCCCGTTCCTGGGGGCCATCCCAAGATAAATCGGCTGTAGCCTCTTTGGCCTCCTTTACCACTTCTGTCACCCTAGCTCTCCGTATGAGCTCATGATACCCCCAGATACTCCCTTTAGCTTCAGTCTTTATTTCATCCCAGAGTGGATCCGAGGCTAAAGCACCCCGGAAAAGCTGCTCCATCCGGGCTTGCTCCACCTCAGTTGGATCCAGCCCCCCCCTTCCCACAATAAAGCGAAACAGTAAGCTAGAAACTGTTTCAGCAGATCCAAATTCGTCATGCAATAGGGAGAGGTAGTCACGCACAGTAAAGTGCCCTCGGCTCAACGTTAGACTTCTAATAGCTTTTGCGGCAGGGCCCTTTAAACTTTCTTTGACCCTCCGCTTCTTTTGAGCATCTGGTATATCCTACTCTTCAACTGCTTGTACTGCCTGCTCCATCCAGGTTTCATATTCTTCCTCCCCCTTTGGTACTGTTGCATCCCCGAGAAAATACATAGTTTCTTATACCCAGCCCCTACACAATAGCTGCCAGTCAAGTTTTGTATAGAAGTCATGCTTCCCTCAGCCTGCACAGACCCTGCCTCAGGTGTCCCTACAGTAAATGAAGCATGTGTCTCCTTTTTTTGGCCCAATGGTTAAGCCAAGAGTGTGGCCCAAACAGTTGGGAATATTACCCCTGCTCTAATATCCTCAGTCAATTGAAGACTCTCAACCTGAAAACACTCCGGAACACTTTTGTTCCACTCCAACAGCATATAAAAATGGGAAAAGTCCTGGTCCACTCTTTTGTCCACCACATATACCCTGTGGTCAGGGACAAAGGTCTTCAATGTCTGTAGAATTCACTCTTCTGGCCAAACATCACCAGGGACATCAATTACTACACTTGACTTTAACTAACTATTCTGGTCCTCATATCACTTAGTAACAGTGGTGGAGTCCATTTTGCTCACTTGAATCCTATCCCTACGTGAGGCTACCTACGCCCCCTCTAAAAAGAGAAAAGGCCGGACAGGAAATCCTGGATGAGCCCCCATGTGTAGCACCACCCCATAGGGACCCCTAAAGTCTGGGCTCCCTCCTGGCCTTCACTTGATCTGGCTGCTGGTCCAAGGGGTCTCTCACTTTGGCACCTCTGATTAACAGAGGCACCTAGTGCGGTGATGCTCAGTCACGATTGGCAGCCACTCACACAAGGCGACGATGGTCGATCTCTCTCAGCAGTAGCTCACGTGGAATAATGATGGTTGATCTCAGGCAGTCACAGCTTACAGGGGGGCAATGGTGGTCGATCCCTGGTAACAGCAACTTGTATACGATGATGGTAATCAGTCCTGGTAACTGCAGTCTGCATAAGCCAATGGCTGTCCCTGGTAACAACAGCTTGTGTACGATGATGATAGTCAGCCCCCGGTAACAGCAGCTTGCATGATGTGAAGGCGGTCAATCTCTGTTTGGAACTTGCAGGGACCTCCCTTCTCAACTCTCCTCATATGTCTCTCTGTCCTCACTCCACGTAATCCTCCCCTTCTCTGCCCCCTTTGCCTCCTCCAGCTTACTCCAGCAAAAGGAAAAAAAGTAAAACTTCCCTGACCTACCCTCTTTAGTTCCCCCTCCTTCTCCCTCTAACTTTTCCCCACTAAAAAAATATGTTCAAACCAGTCAAATTCTTCCCTTGCTCTTCCTCTACCCAGCTTGCTCCAGCGAAGGAAAAAATATATAACTTCCCTGACCTATCCTCTCTATTTCCCTTCATCCAGCTTGCCCACAACGAAAAAACAGTAAAAGGCTTCACCTCCCCCCTCTCTCCCCCCTCTTCTGTCCAGCTTGCCCACAACGAAAAAACAAGGAAAAAGGACACGAAGCCCAACTCTCTTACTCTCTCTCTCTTTGCCTGGCTAATTCTTCACCAAACCAACTGCCGACGTCCCAAACTTGCCACCTTCCTTCTTCTTTCTTCCGTCGGCTTCCTCCTCCTTTTTCTTCCCTCCTCCAAGCCTCCAGCCCAACCGCCGCCAGCCCAACAACAGTTGCTGAAGCTCCTCATTTCCCTGCCAAATCGGCAGGGCTCCCACAAAACCTTTCGGCTGACCATGTTCTCACCCCAGCTCTGTACATAAAGAATAAGAGATTTTTTATTAAAAGTTCATTTCTTAAAATAAATAAACAAAATAAAAAAGAGATGGAACAGCAGTTGTGATATATAATGTTAAAATGGTTAAATATTAAAAGTTTCATACTGTAGAATCTTTCTTAAAAAAATCATAACCACTCCTGTTTTTTCAGGTCTTAGAGCTGTTTAAGAATGCCAAAAAATGATGTATAATGTAATTTCATAACATGTGGTAAACATGCGACCATGAACTACCATTTTAATTGACATTTATTATATGAATGCAATCCAAATCCATACCCATGTAATTATTGGAAAAATAAGAAATAACATTATTTTCCATGTTCAGATGAAAAATATATAGGTTATATGGCAAAATTATATATACTAAAATTTTGTGAAAAAATATGAAATATTGGTGAAATGTGATTTATAAATAATGTATCTTAATGTTATCTTTCTTTAAAATCCGCTTTTCCATAAATAAACTATTTCATATAGCCTGTGCACTGAGCCAAAAGTATTTAAAATCCTGTCCTTGAGTCCGGTATAAGATGTTATTACTTGGTTTGATATCAACAGATTTTTTTTATTAACAGGATATGGGCTTTTGCAATGTATTGGCTCCACTATAAAATTTCTTAGTTGCTAGGTAAGAATATATTATACAGCTGGCTTCCGGTTTGCCATCACGGCACTTGCGGACGCAGGAAAGCAAGCTCTGTCTTCTGCATCCAAATTCGTCCCACTGAGGGACCCTGGAAAGGGTCAAAAGTCACCCTGTAGGCATGACGGGCAAGGAGGGGACCTCCGCTTGATCCAGGGCAGCTCTCCAAACCGGCAGGGGAAGACCGGCCATAGGAATATGGCTCATCACTAAGCTGCTGACAGCAGAAGTCAAAATCACCACCAAGCACCTTTAAAGCAACGCGAATAAAACTGGGTGAGATCCAACCCAGTGAGAATCAGGTGGAAAGGGTAAAAAAAATAGGCAGATGGACTAAAAAGAGTGATTATAAAACACAAAGAATTTAAAATAAAGCTGGAGGAACAGCTAAAGTTGTTCTTCCAGGAAAATAAAAAAGAGGATACGAACATACAAAATTTATGGGATACAACGAAAGCGTATGTGAGAGGAGTGGCTATAGCTTATATGGCAAGAGAAAATAAGAAGAAACAAAAGGGAAAAATCCTAGAAGAGGAATTCCAAAGATTAGAAATAGAACTACAACATAACCCCCAAAATGAAAGCCTGAAACAACAAATGAAAGTGATTAAACATAAGTTGTCCATTGTTGAGAAAGAAGAACTAGCACAACAAATTAAAAGGAGTGGTCAGAATTACTTTGAGAATGCAAACAAGCCAGGGAGATGGCTATCGTATAAGCTAAAGAAGCAGAGAGAAAGAAGCTGGATTAATAAATTACAGGATGAAGAGGGAAATATACAACATCAAAGCGAAGAGAAGAAAAAGATAATTCAAAATTTGTTAGAGAATTTTAAATTTCTCTAATTGGTGAAAAATAAATTAAAAGCTCTTACAGTTGACTGCATTTAGCTGATTCAAATAACTTTATATTTATATAAAAATATTTACAATACCATTCTTCTTTACAGCAACATAGTTCAATTGAAGACTTCTTACAGAGACAGACCAGATACAAAAACTTTGAGACTGGAAATCTAGCTCCTAACTCAATACTCTTTTTTTTGCACAGACTCAGTAGCACTTTCCTCACATTGGCTGACTGAGTTACCACATGACTCTTCCTGTTCATGAATATTCCAACACTCCTCCCTTCATGATAGGAAGAAACATCAGACCTATTGACTTAATACATTAATTGTGAAAAACCTTGTGCCACTAACCTGGCCTTATACTGTACTTCATTATTTGGCAATACCTTTTTCTTATATTTACAACCCACAGCTTTGGTTCCCTGTGGTAAAGTCACTGATTTAAATACTTCATGGTCTCCCATGGATTTCATCTCTTTATCCATGGCCTCCTTCCATCTTTCTTGTTCAGCTTTTGGTAATGCCAACACCTCTTTATAACTTCTTGGCTCATACCACACATTGCAAACCTTTACCTTGTGGCAGAATACCTGTCAGGCAGAATTCCTTTATTACATCGCTCTGACCTACGTAGTATTAACTGCTCCTGTGTCTCAAGTCTTTCTGGCTTCATGTCTTTTTTTTTTTTTTTAATTGAAAATTTTTTAGAAGTTTTACAAATAAACAACAACCCTCACCCCATCCCTCCCAGACCCACCCCTCCCTCCCCCCTCCCCGAACTTCCCAGAACTGAATATAGGCTTATTTAAATTTTTTTTTTAAAAAAAAACTTAAACAACATTTACAACTTATAAAATAATTAATAATAATATATATATGATATAAGCATTAAGAAAAAAAAGAAAAAATACTTTAAAAAGAGAGAGAAAAAAGAAAAAGGAAAGAGAGAGAAAAAGAAAGAAGAAAGAATAAAAAAAATAAAAGTTCATAAGACGGAAACAAAAAAAAAGAAAGAAAGAAAGCAATCAATACAAATTATGAAAAAGCTAAATAATATTTTTCCATATTCAAATTGTGTTGAATAAAATTTATCCATTTTTCCCATACAACAAAAAATTTCTCTTGAGATTGCTCCTTTAAGAAAGCCGTAATCTTTGCCATTTCTGACAAATACGAAACTTTATAAAACCACTCTTGTAAGGTAGGCAAAGAATCCTTCTTCCAATATTGTCCAACTAACAGCCTAGCGGCTGTGATCAAATTTAGCATCAGTATAACTTCCTTAGCATCACAGTCAGTAATAATACCTAATAAAAATAATTGCGGAGTAAATTTTACCCTCCTTCTAAAAATTCTTTGAATATTCCACCATATCTTAATCCAAAAGGCTTTTATATTTTTACACGACCACCAAATATGAAAATAAGTTGCATCCAAACAACCACATCTCCAACATTTAGGCTGTAGATCAGGGTACATAATGGACATTTTCTTTGGATCAAGGTGCCATCTATAAAACATTTTATAAAAATTCTCTCTTAAGTTCTGTGCTTGTGTGAATTTAACATTCCTCACCCAAATAAGTTCCCAAGTATCCAATGAAATTGATTCACCAATATTTTGTGCCCATTTAATCATAAAATCTTTAATTAATTCAGATTCTGAATCCATTTCCACTAAAACCCCATAAACCCTCTTGATATGGGTTGGTCTTTGATCCCTTACTTGTTTGATGAGATTTTCATCTTCTCTAAGCCATCCCATATTACAATCCGTCTTCCATCTATCCACTATTTGTCTATATTGAAACCATGAATAAGTAAGATTTTCATGTGTTAAATCTTCCAAAGATTTTAACTGCCAATTTTGACCATCCCATCTAAGTAATTGTATATAAGAAACCGTATCCATCTTGACTCCTTTCTTTATTCCCTCTATCGCATGCCAAGGTATGGCCCATAATGGTATTTTAAAATCACTTCTATAATATTTCCTCCACACCCTAAGCAAAGAAATTCTTATAATATGAGATTTAAAAACCCGGTCCATTTTTTTATTAAAAATTAAATAGGCATGCCATCCAAAAAGTAAATCCCAGCCTTCCAAATGGAGTATTTCTACATTTGTTAAATTCACCCAATCACTAATCAATGTTAGTACCACCGCATCATAATACAATTTCAAATTTGGTACCTTGAGTCCACCTCTCTCACGGAAATCTTGCATAATTTTAAGTTTGACCCTTGGTTTTTTCCCTGCCCAAATAAATTTGTTAATACCTTTCTGCCATTCATTTAAGTTAAGTTCATTCTTTAAAATAGTAACATTTGAAACAAAAAAAGAAACTTTGGCAGAACATTCATTTTAATAACTGCAATTCTACCCATAAGAGATAACTGTAAATTATTCCAATTCATTAAATCCTTCTGTACCCCAATCCACAGCTTTTCATAATTATTTTTATACAGTTTTGCATTAGAAGCAGATAGTGTAACCCCCAAATATTTTACCTTGTCAACAACTTCAAAATCTGTTAAATTGACCAAAGTCTGTTTATCACAATTAGTCATATTTTTTGGTAATATTTTGGTCTTATTATTATTAATTTTAAAGCCTGAAACGCACCCATATTGCTGAATCAGTTGTAATAATTTAACTACCGAATAAGTAGGTTGATACAAAGTAACAACCAAGTCATCTGTAAAAGCTCTTAACTTATATTCTTTTTTATTAATTTCTATTGCTTTTATTTCTTGAGACTCCCGAATTTTAATTAATAAAATTTCCAATGTTAAGACAAACAATAACGGAGATAATGGACATCCCTGTCTTGTACCTTTTTCTATTGTAAAAACCTCTGATAAACCCCCATTTACAATAAGTTGAGCAGTCTGTTTTTTTTTTTTATTGAAAGTTTTATAAATTTTACAAAAAAACAAAAACAATACAAAACAAAAGACAACATATACAAAAAAGAAACTAAACATTACATATATATATATAAAAAAAAACCCATCCCCCACCCCTCACAAAAACCCTCCCTTCCCCCCCCTGAGCTTCCCAGAGCAGAATATAGGCTTAATTAAAAATTAAGAAATAAAAATAAAAAATTAAATTAAAAAATTTATATTTATATATATATATAAAAAATATCTATATATATATATAAAAAATAAAACTTATAAAAAAGCTATGTGATATTTTTGTATACCCAATCTAAATTGTATAAATTTTATCCATTTGTCCCAAACAGCAAGGAACTTCTCTTGCGTTTGTTGCTTTAAGAAAGCCGAAATCTTTGCCATTTCCGCCAGATAAGCTACTTTAAAAAACCATTCCTGCAATGTAGGCAAAGATTCCTTCTTCCAATATTGTCCTACTAACAGCCTAGCGGCTGTAATCAAATTTAACATCAATACAACCTCCTTTGTATCACAATCTGTAACAATACCTAACAAAAATAATTGCGGAGTAAATTTTACCCTCCTTCTAAAAATTCTCTGGATATTCCACCATATTTTGATCCAAAATGCTTTTATCTCTCTGCAAGACCACCAAATATGATAATAGGAAGCATCCTTATAACCACATCTCCAACATTTGGGTTGCACGTCAGGGTACATAAGAGACATTTTTTGTGGATCAAGGTGCCATCTATAAAACATTTTATAAAAATTCTCCCTAAGGTTCTGTGCTTGTGTAAATTTGACATTTCTCACCCAAATGGTTTCCCAAATGTCCAATGAGACTGGGACACCAAAATTCTGCGCCCGTCTAATCATACAATCTTTAATTAATTCCGTTTCTGAGTCCATTTCAACTAATACCCCATAAATTCTCTTGATATGGGTTTGTCTTTGATCCTTAACTTGCTTAATAAGATTTCCATCTTCTCTAAGAAAACCCAATTTACAATCCACCTTCCATTTATCTACTAGTTGCCTATATTGAAACCAGGAATAAATAATATTTTCTTGCGCTAAATCTTCCCGTATTCTTAACTGCCAGTTTTGCCCATCCCATCTAAGTAACTGACTATAAGACACCATGTCCATTTTTACTCCTCTTTTTATTCCTTCTATCGCATGCCAAGGTATAGCCCATAATGGAACCTTAAAATCACTTTTATAATATTTTCTCCAAATCCTAAGTAAAGAAATTCTTAAAATATGAGATTTAAAGACCCAGTCCATTTTTTTATTAAATATTAAATAGGCATGCCACCCATAAAGTAAATCCCATCCCTCTAAATGAAGTATCTCAGGATTTGTCAAATTTACCCAATCACTGATTAGTGTTAAAACCACCGCATCGTAATATAATTTCAAATTTGGTACCTTAAGTCCACCCCTCTCACGGAAGTCTTGCATAATTTTAAACTTAACCCTTGGCTTTTTCCCTGCCCAAATAAATTTATTAAGACCCTTCTGCCACTCACTTAAATTAATCTCATTTTTCAAAATCGGTAACATTTGAAACAAAAAAAGAAACTTGGGTAGAATATTCATTTTTATCACTGCAATTCTTCCCATGAGGGATAATTGCAACTTCTCCCAATTCTTCAAGTCCTTCTGTACCCTGACCCACAACCTTTCATAATTATTTTTAAATAATTTTACATTAGAAACAGACAACATCACCCCCAAATATTTTACCTTATTAACAATCTCAAAACCCGTCAAGTTAGCCAAAATCTGCTTCTCCTGACTAGACATATTTTTAGGTAAGATTTTAGTCTTATTTACATTAATCTTGAAACCCGAAACCAAACCATAATGGTGAATCAACTGTAATAAGTTTACTGCAGAATAATCAGGTTGCGACAAAGTAACAACCAAGTCATCCGCAAAAGCTCTCAACTTATATTCTTTTTTGTTAACTTCTATTCCTTTAATTTCCTGAGACTCTCGAATTTTGATCAATAATATTTCCAGTGTTAAAACAAACAACAATGGCGATAAAGGACACCCCTGTCTAGTACCTTTCTCTATTGTAAAAACCTCCGACAAACCTCCATTAACAATAAGTTGTGCCATTTGTTTTTGATATATTACCGTAAGGGCT